TTTTTTTTTTTTTTTTTTTCGTTTCCCATGGCTAATTCATTCGCTTTTTCACCGAAGTGCACTCTAAAACTACCCACGCGTGCACTCCATGTATTCACGTTGTACATATTCCTTGTGAAACTTCATTTTCATTCGGAGAATCGATTTAAACGCATCGATTTGCTTTCCCTCGCATTTTAATAAATCTCGAGCATCGCCATTCGAACTCGGAGAGATTTGATTCGCTCCAACGTTTAATTGAATTGATAAGAAATGAGCTACTTTGAAAGAAACGTGAAAAAATTAAAAAAAATTATTTGTTCGTCTGCAGATTATCGAAAGATAATCCGTCGGATATCTGCGAATCTGTGGTTTATAGATATTTCGATCAATAATTATTAATTACGTGATTATATTGACAGTTAATAATCACGGTGTGATTTTCGTTTTGAAACAAACGAGATTGGAACATCGACGAGTTGTAATGTTGTAGCAAGCAAATATTCATATTAATAATTCGCGGAAAGGAACAAACTGATAGATATAAAAATATACAAGAAACATTTACGAGAAATGAAAATTCCCAGGAAAATACATATGATAAATCCACAATGTGTGGGGAAATATTAGTTTAGTTGTTACGTTAGATAGTTGAACGTTAATTGATATCTATAATGTTTTTACACGTTCTGGAGATTTATTGGTAATAAAATTGAAAAGACGATTCGAATACAGTCTTTTACACACACACACACGTAGAACTCGTACCACATTCGAATTTTAGAACAGACATTTCTTCTTCTAACAAGATCATCAACTTTATTTTATTATTCATTTATTAATTTTACGGTATAATTTAATTTAACTTGACGTAATTGGTGTAATTTAGGAGAAGGAATTGTCAATGTTGTAAAAAATTAATGAAAATTATTTATTGCACCATGTACCACAAAATTGTACTATTTACTGAATAACCTAATAATAATAATAATAATTTAGATTTTACGAATAACACTATGAAACAAATTATAAACGTACATTATACAATAGTATAAATATACATGAAATAAATATATAATAACAATTTAGAATATATTATATGTCGTATATGTACTAATATACATAATATTACATACATTATACACATCTAATAATTTATTAAAAATTGAAGAAGAAAAAAAAAATTAGATAAAAATATTTCCAATGTGAGATCCAACAATTTCGCGAGGGAAAAGATATAACAATACTTGCCTGACAAAATATTTCAACGTGCTATTATGATCTTACGGATGTCTCGATATTTTTCAGTATGCTCAAGAAACGCAGCACGAGAAGATCCTTCGAGGATTAGCCGTGGGCATCGCGTTCACTATGTACGGCCGTTTGGAGGAAGCTGATCCTTTGGTCTCTTCGCTTTGCGCCGACAAGGACCCGATCCTTCGAAGGAGTGGCATGTACACGTTGGCGATGGCCTATTGTGGTACCGGAAACAATCAGGCTATCCGGAAGCTGCTGCACGTTGCTGTAAGTTTTCATAAAGCAAAACTTCTCTCTCTCTCTTTTTTTGCGCGCGCCATTTTGTTCCTACACACAGTCTCGTTTTTGAT